GGGTATGTGTATGGATGAGGCAGCCTGGACCAGCATGGACTTTTGCCAACCCCAGTACCCATGAGTTCCATAGTCATACCTAGATCAGCTTGTCAACCCATTCAGTTCTTGAGAAAATCAGTAGATATTGCAGTTCCACAGCAGTGAGCCCATATATCCCACACACAATCTCTTCCCAGACCTGGTTCTCTCATGTGCTGGCCTAGCCTGACGTTATTCATCCACTGTTTCAACACTCACTGGCAGGTACTATGATCTAGCCCTGCCAGATAGGCTCCCAGCCCAAACTTTAGTGTGCACCAGTGGGTGGTGGTCAGTGGTGATCAGTGCTAATTAGCCCAGCCCAGGTCTTCTACCTTGGTGAGTGCTTTCTTCTAATCCTGAAACGTGTTCCAACTTCCCTCCTCCAAACTGCTTGGTCTCAGCCCACTCACTTACCTGCAAAGTACAGTGCTTTTGTTGCTGGAAGTGTCCCAGAAGTCATTTCTCACCTGCAAGTTACTCCCTAAGCAATCCCCACCTCCCATACATCCCCATATCCTCTTTTGTGACTAAACCATAGCCCCTGTGCATGCAAGCACATGGCTTTCACCAGTTCTGCTGGTGTGGTGTGCTGGCCTAAAGCCGTGCCTTCTCACACAGGATGCCACATCCAGCAGAAGTGCTGGCCTGGGACACTACCCATCTGGCCAGTTGGGACTCAAGCATGTTAATGAGTCCACAAGCCCAGTCCACCAGCACAAAACACCAGCATGACAGTCTGTGGCCCTAGCAGCACCAGCACCCCTGGAACCTAAACATGTGTGGGAGTTCTCAGGCCTGCTCAACAATGCCAGCGACTAGCCCCCAGCCCCAGGATCCTCAAGGCCACCTAGCTGCTGCCATGGTAGAAGCCCACTTCCTCATGTTGTGCTCAGGAGTTCTGCGGAGGAGAGAGGCAAATGAATTTCCTGGGGGTCAAGGTCCTGTTTGCTTACTCTGAGTGGATGTCAGGAGAATCCTGGTGTGTTGGTATTTCAGACAGCTGCTCTAGGATCTGCTCCAAGTGCTGGGTGAATTTGGTGAACAGAGCATGAGCACCGGGTTCCATCTAATAGGCAGATGAAGGGCAGCCTCATTCATTCTGGCAGCTCCTCACCATCTTGTCCCCTTGGGACACCTGTGGACAACTGTGGGCAGCCAGGCCAGCTCAGGGAGGGGAGAGAGGTGCTCATGCTGCAGCAATCAATGGCCAGGAGGAAAGGCAGTGGGCAGTCATTCCCCACCAGAATGATGAAAGTTGGCAGGCTGAAACCAGGCTGAAGCTCTGTGGCCACCAGGGAGGAGTGTCCAATCAGCTTTCCTCAAGGTCTCCTTCTCCACCATGCACCTAACAGTTAGGGTCTTTGCCTCCAGTGAACCAGCTAGTATGCAGCAACTTTTCCTTTGCAACCTAGAATCATCCATCACACTCTGGGGTAAGTGGTTGGGATCTGCAGGTACTAGGGCAACGAGCCCGCACAGCAGGATCCATTCACGGGGGTTAAGGAGAATATGTCAGTTTTCTTTTGGTAATCTGCCAGAATGCAAAGGGGAGGGCACTGGACCAGCTCTCCTGGAGCAGAGAAGGCTATGAAGGATGCAAGCTTGGGATTCTGGGATCCCATTGGAGTATCCCAGATATGTCTGCTCAGTCCTCAAAAATGGGATATCAGACCAGTGAATCCTGAAGCCTGCTGTGCCACAGCACCTGTCTCATTCCTCGTGTATTTCAATCCCTTAGGGTCAGAGGAGGGCGGGGAAGATGGGAGTCACAAAGCACAAATAGGGTCCAGGACTAACTCTACAGCAAGGGGTTGTTCCTTGAAAGAATTGTGGGTATGGGCATATTTGCGAGCAATGCTAGAGTTCCATGGTAACCTCTTGAGGCAAACCTCCCAGTCACATGTGTGCTTTATAATGAGCCAATAGCCCACTGAGCTAAAATTAGAAGTGGATTGGGCTCCCTAAGATCCCCATGAGTGTAAAATGCTACCAACCACCTCTCCCCTGAAAGTTCTGCCCATCAACTCTGCTTAAACAAGGACTCCCTCCACTTGACACTGAGCACTTCACTACTCAATACCAGGGAGCACTAATCATTGATCTCTGCAACATTTCATTCTGTGGCTGGAACCATCATCATATCTACTGATGTCACTTTCAATCTGAGTTGACCCTCAGGTGCTTCCTTTCAGCCCGGTGCCACCAGCACCAATGAAAGTGGTTTCTGTGGTTTCATCACAAAACCAAGAAAGGGCCTGGGGCTAGTTCCATGGACCCTCAGCACTTCTTGGCCGCTGCGACCCCAGTGTCAAGAGTCCTATGGGCTGTGGGTGGGCCCGTGTCTCTCCCTCTCACTCTGAGAGATGACAACTGAGTTCACAGAGTCCTGTGATGAAGTTTCTACTCACCATGTCTCCAGCACACATTCATTTGATTGAGATCTAGTCTATTTTGCATGTTGCAAATGGGAAATGGTGACTTGTCCAGCCACGTGCAATAGCAAGGCCAGCCTTCATCTGCTATTGCCCAGGGTGCACATTACCAAAAGCCTGGAAAGGAAGCAGAGCTGCTGGGACTCAACAGGCACTGCGCTGGTAGGGGATGCAGGTGTCCCAGGCAGCCACTTAAGTGCTGTGTGATCCCTGCCCTCCTCTCCCCCAGCTTGTGTTGGGCACAGCATGCCTGCAGCTTGGTTTTGGGGCTTTCCTGGGCAGCGAGGTCATGTTCACTTGTGCACTGACTGTGAACACTGGGACATTAGCTATGGTTGTGGACTTCCTGCCAAGGTTTCTGCAATGGATGTCCATATCCACGGCTGTGTACCACACATCCATGCATGTACTCTGACTGTCCCCACCCACTCTGCCTCCAGCTGCTCTCTCTACCCCTGAGGCCCACAGGGAGTCACCCACACATCTCACACTGTCTGTATCTGAGAGAGGTCCTGCCAGGGAATTGGTGGTAGTTGGGAGGAGGAGGGCGGGCCTTTTTGAAACTTCAGTCAAGCACAGCCAGTGAACAGCTGCAGAGATGCCTTAGGAAAGTGTGAGTTGTAGCAAGGAAACACTCACAAGTGCTGGCTGCCACGCCCTTTGGTGGCTTTTCTGAAAACAGCCTGGTAAGTCCTGGCCCTGATCAAAGTGACAGTGATGTAGTAGGCAGCTCACAGACACAGAACCCTCTACTGGGAGGGTCCTAAAAGATACTCACCTCTCACACATACTCCATCACAACACCCCAACACATTCATACATGCGCACACAGGCACTCCTGTGTATTCTCACACCAAGACCTGAGATGACAAGTGTGTCCTCCTGCCCCCACTATCTGAGGGATCAGCTGTGAAAGCTCGGGCCATGGCACACCACACACCAGTAGCCACATGGGCTGTTCATCTGTGGCTTGAATGTTTTCTTCCCCAGCTACAAGAGAGGATTTGAGAAGGGAGTGCAGGTGTCTCCTGCAATGCCATGGTAGTTCCTGCTTCCCTCTTGCAGGTAGGCTCCTAGTGTGATCCCTGGATACAAGGCCTGGGGAGTTGATCTGGGAGGGATGGCATCTTGGAAACCAAAAGTTCTGGAAACACTTTCAGGCACTGCTGCCCAGCAGGCCTTCTTCAGCTCTTCCCTGGGCTCTTCTTCTCCATCACTTGGTCAGGCCCTCACCAACCACGAGGGCCCGTCAGGCCTTGTCACCCACTCCATCCCCACAAAGGCCCATTTCTTCTTGGGGCTGAGAAGTAAAGAGCGGGAAGAGCTGGGTTATGCAGAGGAGGAACATTTCTGGGAAAGCAAGTCTAATGAAATATGAAAATTCTGGCGACTTGGAATCCTGCCCAGTCCGAGCATAGCCTAAGTTCTGAGCTTCAGTCGCCTGCAAGCTGTGGCTCTTGCTAATCCTTGCAGCCTGTTTCTCATCCCCTGCCAGTGCATTGTGCCCAGGTGTTGCATGGATAGGATGGAGGAAGGGGCTGAGGGCCACAGGTGTGATCAGCCAGAGAGCAGAGGGGCCAGAGAGAAGTTTTGAGAAGGAAAAGAGAGATGGAGGGAGGGCGTGCTGACCCAACAGGGTGGATCCTAGTGCCTTTTTCCAAGGCCATTTAATCCCCAGGAAGGGCTTTGGAGTGGGCACATGTGTGAGGCAATTTCATTTGTTCTCAAATTTCAAGCAGATGAGGGACAAGGCACTATGAGTTTCCATGGGACAATGCAGCAACGCGCGCGCGCACACACACACACACACACACACACACACACACACACACACACACACACACACACACCCTAGAGGGAAGAGCTGGTCAGGAGCAGAGGAGCCCCAGGAGCCCCAGGAGCCCAGCCCTGCCACAGCCATGGGCAGCCTATTGGGAGAGGGGTTTGGTCTAAGATGCCTCACTTCCTACCCTGGGCTCTGGTCCCAGCATCCCCCTGCCCCTTTGGCCTGGGCCAACGATGCCCCTGGTTCACTGATCACACACTGTGATCTTCCTCTTTTGTTCTGCAAGTAACAGGGTCAAGTGCTTTGCAGTGCAGCCACAGAGGGAACTTTGAGCTCTAGAGTGAGCAGGGTGGAAGAAGAGAGGGGCTTAGGTGAGCAAACAAGGGGGCTGAAGGTGCTGCCAGGGAACATGGCAGGCACCATCACCTATGCAGACCTGCGGTTTGTGAAGGCTCCTCTGAGGAAGAATGTCCCCCACCTGAGGCAGGGTAAGGGTACTCACAACCTCTTCCTCCCTGTGATCCCACCCAAACCAGCCCCCAGGCACTTTCCCCTCTTCTCCTCCCCTCTCTTCTTCTCCCTCCCTCTCCCCTCCCCCCTCCCCTCCCCCTTTCCCTCCCCTCTTCTCCCCTCCTCTTCCCTGCTGTCCTCTCCTCTCCTCTCCTCTCTCCTCTCCTCTCCTCCCTCTCCTCTCTTCTCTACTCTTCTCCTCTCTTTTCCTCTCCTATCCTCACTTTTCCTCTCCTGTTCTCTCTTAGAGTATGACGAGGATGGAGATATCACCTATGAAAATGTGCAGGTGTCCTCATATCCAGAGGCATCTACAGACCTGGCACTGCCCTCCAGACCAGGGAACCAAGCAGGTGTGGCGAGTGTGTGTGCCAGGGGAGTGGGGAGGGGCTGATGCTGTGTTGGAGATGAGAGAGTCACAGTGGTCTCCAGAGGATGCTACCCCAGGTTGGGAGGGGAGAAGGAAAGCTGTAGCTGGAGTTAGATGCCAGTAGCATCTCAATAACAGGTACAGTCCTGGTGGTGACTGGGGTTGGGGCAGGGCCTGGAGCTGAGCTCTGTTGAGGAATGGGAGCCATAGGGGTTACAAGGGGAAGAAGGCAGATATTGGACAGGGATCAATCAGGAGGAGAGTAGGGAGTCAAAATTTTCCCGCCCCAAGTAAACCATAAAGGGAGCCAGCCCTGGGAAAGCTAAGATGGGGTCCAATGGGGAAAGATCAGTGATGATACACTGGCAGGAGCCTTGGGGCAATGAGGAAACCTGTGGGTGGTGAAGGAATCCCAGAGTAATTGTAGGTGGATAGCGGCACTGGCAGGCGGGGCGGTGGGGAGGGCTGAGGGGTGGAAGCTGTGGGGAACACCGGGGCTAGCATGTTTTGTCCTCAGCAGTCAAGACAGAGCAACCAACCAAGTCCTGGAGCAGTGCCCTGTCCTCAGGTGCCAGGAGGATGCACCTGTGTGAGTTTTGTCCCCTCGCCAGCTCCACTGCCATCTATGGGGAAGCCTGGGGAAGGAGGGAGGGAGTGTGAAGCATGGGTCACTGGTGGGATAAACCCACATGGCCCCACCAGGCGCACCTTATCAGGAGAGGAGACTCCTGTGACCCAGAGGCACACCCAACCCTTAGATTACGCCATTTCTATCCCTGGTACTCATTTCCTCTCTGCCCTGGGTGTTAGTTCCCCTTGCTACCAGGCAATAACACTCCATGTGCCTCATGAAGAACAACCCCCAGACCTTATCTGGAACATACTCCCTCTTCACATACAAATTGCCCCAGCACACTGGGGAGCTGGCCATTGCCCATCCCCTCACCTCTGCAGGAGCCTCCAGGGAATGTGGACCGCAGGATCCCCCAACTCCATCCCCAGCCCCTCACTTTTCCTCCCTCCCTCTGTGAAGGTCATGGCCACCCCTGCTGCTCACAGTACCTCCTGCTTGGCCTGCTCCTCACCTGCCTGCTGCTGGCGGTGGCTGCTATCTGGCTGGGCATGCAATGTGAGTATGGCTGACCCTGGCTCCCCACTGCCCACAAGCCACCTCATCTCCTGCTCTCCCCAACTTCAGCTACTCTTGTTCAGTAGACCCCACATGCATGTTGCTCACACCCTCAGCTTTGGGCTGGTTTCCTGTGCTGTCTGCCAACAATTACCCCATCTTCCCTAATGACCAATATTATGGCTCTCAGATGTCATATTTCAGCCCTGTGGTGATAAATGTCGCAAGACACAGATTAGGGGCCCTATAACAGAGTGGCAGAGCTCCAGGATGTGGCTGCAGCAGGTATTCGCAAATGACCCCATCCCTTTCTGTGGCCACCCAGACCTGCAGGTGTCTCAGCATTATGGGCAACTGAACAGGCTGCTGGAGGTCACCAACAGCAGCCTTCAGGAGCAGCTCCACCTTGGAACTGTACAGCTGGGGCAGATGGAAAAGGACCTGCAGAACTCCAAGGAACAGCTGACCCAGAGCCAGAAAGCACTAGGGGAAGAGCAGAGGGTACACCAGGCTGCCCAGAAGCAGCTGCAGGTCTGCAAGGCGGACAGGGAGAAGATGCAAGAGGATTTGCACAGGAGGGTGGAACTTCAGCAGACTGTGCAGCAGAAGCTGAGCCACCTGCAGGACACAGTGAGGCCCTTCTTCACCTGCCCATCACAAGGTAGCTGTTCTGGGCATGGGGAGCTGAATGGGCTGGCTGGTCATGAGGGAGCCAGGCCAGGGGGCACCAGGGACAGGGGTCTGGGAACACTCAGAAGGCAGGAAGTTGTGTAGGAAAAGGGCTGGGGAACAGAGCTGGGTTGATGAGAGTTTTCACTGCCAGCCAGCAGGGAGAGGGATGAAGCTGCATACTGGATCTAGGGCACTCCTTTCAGTTCCAAGGGTGGAAGCTCACAGTACAAATCACCCCATGGACAGGAGCAGGGGGAATCTGGAACCCCCGGCACTTGTTCAGAGTGCAAGGTGGCTGAAGTCCACATGGAGCCATGACAGGGATGTGGGTGGGTTGAAGGGTTTGGGGAGAAATGTTGTGGCCGACCCCTGATCCTCCTGGATCTATCCACTTTGAATGCAGCAATGGGAGAAAGAACACATGGAAGGGAAAGTCCATGCCAAGGCAGGCTGGGGGTCTTAGGAAAGCTGCCAGAACCGTGGCACAGTTTTGAGGAGGGCTTTGGTGAGTGTCAGGGTTGGGCTCTGTCTGTCTGATGGGGCAGGAAGAGTGCTTACAGCCAACTACAACTGTCATTTCCTGAATCTTCTTCTGCTTCGTGCTGTGAGATCCCACAACGGGGCTGCCCCTTCCCCTGCCCGACCCAGGTTCCCACAGCATCCCCGATTGCACCTCCATTGAAAGAACAGCTGTGAATGCCTACTCTGATGACAGCTTCTTCCACCCCACACCTCTGCCACCTCTGCCTGTGATTTACTGACACTCCCCCTCTTCCTCTGCGTGTCAGCTGCCTCCTGTCTTCATTTCTCTCCCTGCCTGTCCTGAGATCCAACCATCACCCAATTGCTGACTCCTTTGTCCAGTGTCCTTTGTGTGTTTGATGACTAGATCTGAACTCAGCATAACCCAATTGACCAGTGTTCCTAGTCCTACACCACAGTGTGCAGTTTCGGAAGAACATTCTGCCTGCTGCCACTGAGACTCCAATCACCAAATCTTGGCTGGTGCCGTGGGCAGCTTCCAGTGCAGCTCCCACCCTGCTCCCCTCCTTTCTCCTACATTCAGCAGATGATCCCATGTTGTGCTCCAAGGCTTGCAGGTCCCAAGGCCTGAACCTTCCCTGCCCACGTCCCTTCCACTGGAAGCGCTGTGGAGCAACTTGAAGTTTTGTCCATCATTATCTTTGAATTTGTTTCCTAGGCATCCTTCTTTTTGGACCTGGGGAGGTCCTTAAAAAAAAAATATTCTGCTCATGCCATCCCAGTCTAGACTAAGTCCTTGTAGTTGCTTGATCACAGCTAAGGAAATCCCTGAAATAATGATGTGAAGTCTGGTGGGGTTGCTTTCAGGAGCAGAAGAGAAGAATGAATGTGTGAGAGGTCCATTGAATGGTTATGTGACCAAGATGAGACTGGACAAAATTCAGGGCACACTGCAAACTGTTCAGAAATGAAGCAGGGTGGGAGTAGAAACACTGTCCTATAGGGGAACTCCTGGGGTGTGAGGAAGTCATGCTATTTCTTGTGAAGTCCTTTCATTGAGTACACATAGACAGGGTATTTTCCATGATGGGGAGAGGAAGCAGAGTGGGACCTAGCAGGATTGCTGAAAAATTGGGCCATGATTCCACAAGTGTCATGGCCTCAGACCCAGAGGTTCTGGCTAGAACTAGACCGGGTGGGGAGTATCATTTCATACCAGCCTGTGCTGCCCTCACACTCTCTCCCTGCTTTCTAGACACCTGCTGTATGGTGGGCTGGATACTGATCCAGAGAAGATGCTTTCACATCTCACTCACTAAGAGAGATTGGCAGAGAAGCCGGGAGTATTGCGAATCTCTGTCGTCCGACCTCACCATTGTCGGAGGCAATCCTCGGAGTTCTCATTATTTAGATGTAAGTAAGATTGGAGAAGATGCCATTTGATAGAGACACATCATTGTGTCAGAATTGACAGTGCACTCTGGCCCGTATGCCCTGGCAAACACAGTCATGATCCTTAGCCCCGAGTGGCCAGCAGCTTTTCCACCCTCACAGCACAGCACAGTGCTGCAAGCAGCCGCTCCTCATCAGCCAGCACTGGCAGCCAGCACTTAGCTGGCTGGGACATTGCCCTCGAGGAGCACAGGGCCAGGGCACCAATGGGTGGTCACATACTGCAGGAAGGTTCAGCCCTCTGTTGGAGGTCCTCATCCTGTGGCATGTGTTTCTGACCACACACCTGTGCTCTCTGAATCTTCCTTTAGCATTCTCCCTGGAAGAGCTTATTGTTGAAGTTATCTGAAAACACTTCCTATTGGGTTGGCAACAGCTTCATGAGGGACCAGGGGATGTATACAAGGTGAGTTTGCTAGAAGTTTCAAGTATTTCCAACTCTGTTAACTTGTAAAAAAAAAGATATATCAAAGTAACTTCCTCCTGATTCTGGAATGCTTCCATTAGCAAATATTACAATTACACACACACACATATGTATATGTCATGTATATGTATGCATACATACATGCATATGTCCATATATGTATATATAGAATGCTTCCATTAGTAAGTATTGCAATTACATATATATGTATATATATATATATATATACCTCTATTTAGTTCATTGTAGAAGTCTCTTCATACTTTTTTATTCCCTAGCATCTAGACTCCTGGGACAGTTAAAATAATGAAATACTTATTATGTTGGCATCTACATTCTTGTTCAGAAGGAGAAACTGAGGTTCAGCCGGGACTTTAAAGATAGGGGAAACCTGGGCATTCTAACTTGCCATTCCTAGACACACCTGCCCAACTGAGGCTGAGTTGTACCAGTCATGGCCACTAGGGGCGCTAGGGTGGTGCCAAGGAACTAGAGCAAAGATTGTGTCCTTTGACAAAGGTGGCCACCTGCTTGTGTTCCTGGGTAGTGTGCCTGGAGTGTGTCTGTCCTCCAGACCTTGGGTAACTGGCCCTCCCCTGGCCCTCCCACCTCTGCAGTTGGCACCCAAATATCTGGAGAGCTGGGACTAGGTCAGGTTTCACACAGGCCAAGGTACTGAAGGGAGTATTGGCAGGGAAGGTTCAGTAATCTCTTGATTGATTTCACCACCAGCATGTGCTACACGATAGAGCACAGCCAGTCACGGTCCTTGGCGTCACAGGCGTGTGGTACCCCTCTTCCATGCATCTGTGAGATGGCATCTTTCAGGTTTCCAGACGAGGATCGCTCTTTGCAGAATTCAGGTAGGAGTGCAGCAAGGGCTGCGGTGTGGCTGTTCCAGGGACAGAGGGGTGCATATCAGGGATTGAGAGGTCAGAGGGAAAGTTTCCCCCTCAAAGGAGGGACTATGGCTTGGTTGGGCATGGACACGAACAGGTAAAAACCCAGTGTTGATGGATGCTGGTGAGATAGCTGACCAGGAAGCTGTGGATAGGTTGAGCTGGAATGGGAATTGGTAATTACCAACTGTGGAGCTCACTGATGCTTTACTTTTGCAGGTGTTCATGCCATGAGACTTCTGGGCCATCGCCCCTGACCTGGGCCTTCAGTGCCCAGCATTTCCTTACTGTGCAGTGCCCAGCGGAAGGCAGAGCCACATCTGACACTTTTCACCAGCATACTGCCTGTTTCAAACATTAGCCAGACATTGGTTTGTTTCTGGGGAAAAGTGTGAAGAAGCTTCCAGAAAAGTGTGAAGAAGCTTCCAAAGCTTCTGGACACTTTGGCCAAGAACCTGCTCTTGTAGCATGGGAGTGGGAGCAGGGATAAGGGCTCATGGGCTGAGTGGATTAGAACAGTCCAGAGCCAGCCAGGCAGTTTTATTGAAATTACTTTAAATAATTTGCATATGTCAGTCTCGTGTGTTAACAATGCTGTGTGATTGGATGATCTCTGCAGGAGAGCTAGCCCAGGTGTTAGGTCAGCCAAATGCTCTGTCCCTTAAGTCCATGCTGAGGCTCTCCTGTATGGGAAGAGGAGCTGGTCAGCATGGCTTGGGCTGGCACTCTGAGCTCACATGTGTGTCCTGAAGGACAAAGGCAGAGGACTAAGAACCCTAAGGTCCTATTGCCAGGGGTGTGCCCCCGGCAGAAGCAGGCTGGGCATGGCTGGCTTAGTGTGGTCCTCTTGATGGCAGAGGAGACTGCCTGCCTCCTGGTTGAGGTTGTGGTACACAGGTACCTGAACAGTAAGCTGAAACTGAAGGGTGGTTTAGAGCCTGCACACACCATATAGGCCTTTGCTGAATTGCCGGGCTCAGTCGACTAGGAGGCTGTGACCCCTGGTAATCTCTGGGCTCCTGCCTCTTGCCCCTCCTGCCAGTGCGTTGTGCCCGGGTGTTGCCAGAGGTGTGCCTGGATAAGACAGAGAAAGCGGCTGAAGGCCACAGGTGTGATCAAAGCAGAGGGGTCAGGGAGAAGCTGTGAGGAGCTATGAGGAGCAGGAAAGGAAGAGATGAAGAGGGTACTAATCCAATAGCGTGGATCCCTGTACCTCCTCACAAGGCCATTTAATTCCCAGGAAGGGCTTTGGAGTGCATGCCTATGTGTGGCATCCTTACTCTTAGTTCTCAAATTGTAAGCAGATGAGGGACAGGGCACCATGAGTTCCCATTGGACAAGGCAGCAAATCAGGATCCCTTTCTGGAAACCCACATCTGCCTAAAACTCCAGAGATCAGCAACTTCTAACACACACACACACACACACTCACTCACACACACGTGCCCTAAAACGCAGGTCTAGTGTGGAGCAGTGGAGCCTTGGGGTCCATCACTGCTACAGTGGCTGTGACGGAGAAGTGGTGGGGTGGGAGTGGTGAGAGTTGAGTCTAAGATATACAGCTCCCCTGCCCTGGCCTCTGGCCCCAGTGTCCTGCCTGTCCCTGCACCCAGCTCCCAACGATGCATCTACTTCCCTGAACCCATCTGTTGCAGACACACGCCCATCTTCCTTTTTTGTGGCTACAAGTACAGGTTCAAATGTTGAGGGATGTGGCCACAGAGGGAACTCAGCTCTCAAGTGAGCAGAGTAGGAGAGAAGAGGGGCTTAGGTGAGCAAGCAAGGGGGTTGGGGGCTTTGCCAGAGAACATGGCGGAGGCCAACACCTATGCAGACTTGCGGTTTGTGAAGGCTCCTCTGAGGAAGAATGTCTTGCACCTAGGGCAGAATAAAGGCACCCACAGCCCTGTACTCCCCCGAGCCAGCCCAACCCCCAATACTCAGCCATATTGTCACTAGGCCTCTGCTTCACTCTCCTCTGCTCTGCTCTCTTCTCTTAAATTCTCCTCTTCTCTTCTCTTCTCTTCTCTCCCAGAGCCAGATAAGGATGGGGAGCTCAGCCATCAGAATGTGCAGGTTTCTTTGGCCCCTGAGGCACCCACAAACCTGCCACAAACCCATGGACTAAGGGACCAAGCAGCTATGATGAGCCCAGAGGACTTAGTGTGTGTATGTGTGTGTGTGTGTGTGTGTGTGTGTGTGTGTGTGTGTGTGTGTGTGTGTATGCTGTGTTGAGAGCTGGAGGAGTCCTCAGTGGTCTCCAGAGGAGTTACCCTAGGTTGGGAACAGAAAAGGGGAGCACAGCTGTGGCCAGGTGCCAGCAGCATCCCTAAGCCAGGAGCAGTGCCATTGGAGGCTGAGCAAGGACTGGTACAGCCTGGGGGAGCTGAGCTCAGAGGAGGAATAGGGTGCCATGGGGAAAAGGGGAGAAAGCAGAAAATGGACAGGGATCAATTGGGAAGAAAGTTGGCGATCAAACCCTCCCTATCCGAGGAAACCATAAAGGGAAACCCGGGAGAGTGATGATGTGGTCCCTGGGGGAAGATCAGGGCTGATACAGTGGCAGTATCCCTGAGATGACCAAGAGCCCCGCAGGTGGCCCAGAGTTGTAGGCATAGGGCAGCAGTGTGGCCTCAGATGGGGGATCTCTGGTGGGAGGCTGTGGGGCACCACACGGGCTTCGTGTGCTGACACTGCCACTCCCTTCCCCAGTGGGTGGAGCAGCCAGCCGTGTCCTGGAGCAGCACCGCCTCCCCAGCTGCACCTCGGATCCACCCCTGTGAGTTCTGTCTCCTTGCCAGTCATGCAGGAGCAAGGGAGGGAGAGAGAGGAAAGAGTCGCTGGCAGCCCCACAGTGTGCCTTGTTCAGAGATGAGCCTTCTTTCTGGGGTAGATAGACACCCTGATGTCCCTAGTCTGTCCCTCCCCATCCATTCCCTCTCTCCCCTGAGGTTTAACTTCTCTTTGTGACCAGACAATGACCCTTGCATCTGCTTTACCAGGAAAAAACCCCAGCCCTTATTCTGAAACATTTTCTCTTTTGTTCCAAATTGCATCAGCACTCAGGAAAGCCAGCCTTTGCCAACACTCTCTTCTGCAGGCATCTCTACCATTGCTTTCTCCAGGGCCTCCTGCCTCAGATCCTCAGTTTTCCTCCCTCCCCCTGTGAAGGCCATAGCCACCCCTGCTGTTCACAGCACCTCCTGCTCGGCCTGCTCCTATCTGCCTCCTGCTGGCTGTGGCTGCATCTGCCTGGGTGTGAGATATAAGCTTGGCTGACCTTAGCTCCCCACTTACACCAAGCCACCTCATCCCCTGCTCTCCCTACCCTCAGCTACCCTTGCTCACTCAGCACACAGCCACATCCCTCCCACCCTCAATTTTGAGGGACTCATTCCCAGCCAGTCTGCTCACAAGCAGCCTGTCTAGATTAATCAGCAAACTTTCATGGGTCAGATGTCACATTTCCATCCTGTGATAGGAAAAGTTGTAATACACAGAATAAGGGACTTGACAACACAGAGTCAGGACTCCAGGACACAGCTGCTGCAGGTGTTCGTAACTCACTCCCCCATCCCTATCCTGCCACTTCCCAGATCTGCAGGTGTCTCAGCAGTTTGGGCAACTGAGCAGGCTGCTGGAAGCCACCAATAGCAGCCTTCAGGGACAGCTATGGGTTTGCCAGGCAGACAGAGAGAAGACACAAGGGACAGCTCAGACCATGCAACAGAAGCTGAGCCACCTGTAGGTCACACTGAGGCTCTTCACCTGCCCCTCCCAAGGTACCTGCTCTGAGCACTCAGAGGACTCTCAGAGCAGGTACCTGCACTGAGAGTTGGAAAGGCTGGCTAGGCATGGGAGCCAGAGGAGGGGACACCAGGGTAAGGGGTTAGGAGTGCTCAGACGGCAGCAAGTTACCCAGCTTGTCACCAGCATGCTCCCTGCTTCAACCCTTGCCTCCCAAACTGGTGTGCTCTTGGGAAAAGGGTGAAGATGCTGCTAGAAAGGACCTTGGACACCGTGGGCCAAGAACCTGCTCCAGTGGTATGGGAGTGGGGACAGGGAGGAAGATGCATAGGTTGAATGGATGAGGGCAACCGAAATCAGCTACGCAGTTTGAATGAAATCATTTTAAATAGTTTGCACATCTTAGTCTCATGTGTCAACAATGCTGTGTGTGTGTGTGAGTCCAGCGGGAAAGTGAGCCCAGGGGTTGTGTTGGCCAAGTGCTTTTCCCTCGAGTCCGTGCTGAGGCCCTACTACATGGGAGAGGAGCTGATCAGCCTGGCCAGGGTTGGCACTCTGTGCTCACAGGCATGTCCTGAAAGCCAAGACAGAGGCCTAAGAACCCCAAAGCCCCACTGCTAAGAGTGTACCCCCATCTGCTGCAGGCTGGGTGTGGGTGGCTTGTCAGGGTGCCATCAGTGGCAGAGGAGACTGCCCATCTCCTAGTTGAGCTTGTGGTAATAGGTAACAGCTGACATGGGACATGGGCACACGGATAGGAAGCCGAAGCTGAAGGGCCAAGGCAGTATCTGGGACAGGGCAGCCCGTCCTTGGGCTCCCAGAGAACTGAGGTGACAACAAGGGTTCTGTCTGCTCCAGGGCATTGCTGGGGCAGGTTGTACTGAGTGTGGTGCCAGCGCTCTCCAGCCCAAGCCTGTGGGGAGTTTCCCACTATAGTTGGAAGATTGTTGTTTAAGGAAAGTCCTGTCCAGCAGGACCAGGGCTGGGAAGCAGAATGAGTGCTTGATGAAGTTATGCGTGGCCATGACTAGGAGAAGCCATCGGTCTGAGCCCACAGGTTCTTGCTTGGGGTTCCTGCCCTCACACTTCATGTTCTCCTTGGAGGAAGGCACCCTGGTAGGAGGGCCAGGGCCTGGCAGTACATTCTCCACATGCTAGGGGAAATCAGAGGATAAGGGCCATAAGAGGCAGTGGTGGGCAGGGGTACCCTGCTGGACCAGGTTCTCCAGGGTGATTACCAAGGATAGCTGAATGGAAGGCATCAGCGATGGACATACCAGGGGCAGGAGGGAAACAGGCCTGCTGGGCATGCTCAGAAGTTTGATCTTGCCATCCCTGAGATCTTCCCATAGTGACTCGAATTGACTCGAATCAGATGATGCCCCCAGTTGGGGGTGATTCTGGTGACAGGTGCAGGAAGAGGTCTGACTGGCTTCTGGAGAGCTGAGGGTCTGGCCTGGGAAGTGTGCCAGAGGTACCCTTTGTTGGCACAGCCCCTATAGATGGAAGGGTCTGTGAACCATGTTTTCTGCCCTGGCCAGGGTTTCTTGCAAGCCCCCTTGTGCTCCAGGGGCTCTCAAGGCTAAGCTTAGAGAAGGGGGTTCCACCTCCAGACCCAACCCTTCCTGCCGTCTGCTGCCCCCTCATCTTGTTTGCACTTTTCTCCCAACCCACCTCCTCACCAATTCCCACCTGCTCAACTACTAGATACACTTAGGTGCTTCCCCGTGTTGTGCTCAGGTTATCTTGGGAGAAGAGACACAAAGGTATTTCCTGGGGGTCAAGGTCCCACTCGCTCATCCTGAGTGGATATCAGGGGACCGCTGATGTGGGGGACTGGTTCAGGCAGCTGCTCCAGGATCTACTCATCCACTCCAGATGCTGTGTGATTTTGGTGAAGGGAGCACAGGTTGGGTTCCATCTGATGGGCAAAGAAAAGGGGCAGCCTCATTCAGCCCAGGAGCCCCTCAAACCTACCCTGCAACCTGGGAACTCCTGACGGACAGGCAGGCTGGCTCAGGGAGGGGAGTGAGGCCCTTCCACTGCAGCAGTGGATGGCCAGAAGCAGGAAAGACAGTGCGCATCCCTACCAGGATGCAAAAAGCAAGCACATGCAGGCCAAAGTGATGATGCATCAGAGGAGGTGCCTCCCTCAGGGTCTCCTACTTCCCCCA